GGGAGTACAGGTGGCCTCATCTCCCTAATCCATATATATAATTCTAGGCATCACTTTTAACTTGTTTGCCCACTTTATATTTATTAGGTGGTAAAATTGCTACTTTTTTTATAAGACTTGAAACTTAAACTCTATGATAGACGTCACATCAATCATTCAAAAAAGATACTTGTGAAGGAATAAATCTCTTGGAGGGAGTGACAGTTAAGGCGCGTCAGAAGTCGTTGCATTGGTTCATGGACCTTGATGTGAACTGCCTCGGCCAGTGTACTTTGGGCTTGAAGATGTTGAGCCTCAGTTGAGGCATCGACCCTGGTTGCATCATACATGCTAGGGGCATCAGCCACCATGCCACATGCTTTGGCTTAGGTAGCCGAAGGGCAACCATGGGTCAACCAAGTGGAGCCACTTGTGACGAAAGGTAATAATAGTCTCCTAAGTCCAAGTATAATCATTTATGTTGTGGTCAGACTTCAATATTTGACTAGAACTTTTTGAACTTTGCTAAGCAAAATTTTTTAAAATTTGGGACCTTTAATAATAGTCCCCCCAAGTCCAAGTATAGATATTTATATTATGGTTGGAATTTATAATCGACATTGCTTCATGGTGAGGAATGCTCATAATTCGGAGCTACTGAAACTCATTGTGTTTTGGTTACTGAAATTAATTTCAAGTCGAGACATTACATTGTCGGACTGTCGAGGCTACTGGTTGTGGTTGCTGAAGTTTTTTGTTTGGAGCCGAGGCACTAGATGTACAAGTTGTTGAGGCGTGTAGTAATTATAGCTGAATGTTATTTAAGATCAAAGCAGGATAAAGCTGAACTACTAAGGTTCATTTGTTAATAATTTATCTTTGATAATTGTGCCAATAATTTGATGTTCGCGTACATTACCAAGAAAAAGCAGTTGAACCATTACGAATTCCAATTCACGTACGGCCATTGCATTAAATGCGCAATGATGGTTACAGTTGTGGATTCTAGAAGATGATGTACTTGGATGATGCATGTACACCACGTATTGATCTGAGATGTCGGTTGAGAAAACCTTTTGAATTCTAAGCTTCACATTTAAGAAGAGATTGACGACTGAGATTGGATGGGCCTCAATCGAACGGCTGGGATCCATTGTTGTCTCATATAAAAGGAGAATTATCCTCATTTTGAGACTTTTACTTCTATAATCCTTTACCAAACTCTCCTGCGAACCTATCACATTTTTTGGCTCTTTCAAATCTCCGTTCTTCGGCGTCCTTCCATATTTAGAATTCTTCACTAATGTTATACCCAGCAAGTAACATATCATCGGCATATAGCAAAAGATAATATGATTCGGGACCTTCATTACCTTTATAATAGAAACATGGATCATATTTACTTTTATTTAAATTAAGACCTTGGTAAAAGTATCAAACTTGATGTACCGTTGCCTAGAGGCTTGTTTCAAGCCATAAAGTGATTTTTTTGTAAAAGACACAAAATTTTCTTTTCCTTTTTGTTTAAAACCTTTTGTTGAGTCATGTAAATTTTTTCATCCAGATTTCTATGTAAAAGAGCAATTTTCACATTTAATTGTTCTAATTCAAAGTCAAACTGTGAAACAAGATAGAGTAAAATTCTTATAGAGGTGTATTTGACTACCGGTGAGAAAATCTTGTTGTAGTCAATTCATTCTCTCTGGTTAAACCTCTTAGCAACTGATCTAGCCTTGAACCTTACATTTTCTCCCCTTTAAATCATCTTCTTTTGTTTTATAAATCCGTTTTTCAATCAATGACCCTTTCTCATTTTTGTTTATTGACTAAGACCCATGTTTTATTCTTGACTAGTGGAAGCATTTCATCTTTCATAGCTGCCAGCTAGAATTTTGCATTCTTTCCTTCAATGCCCTCTTCATAGGAATTTGGCTCATTATCATCTGAACAATAAGTGTAGTAATAAAGTCTGATTCATTATATATAGATGGTGGTCTTATTTCTTTTCTTTCTTTATCTCTAGCTAGATGTAGTCATCCAAAGGGTTTGCTAGCTTGTCAGATTCGGGTTCATCGGTAGGTTTAGGTTCTGGTTCTAAGACAATTTCTTGGTATTGGGTAGGCTCCATCTCAATTTGTTCATTATTTTTTGAATTTACATCAGCTTGAAGAGGCTCAAATTGTATAAAAGATCTATTTAGGTCATTTTCAATGGTGGCAGATCCTTTATGTTTTAAGTAGGTCATGCCCACTTCATTGAAGATAACATCCCTACTTATTATGACTCTATTGCCTCCTTGACCTTTCAACCAAATCCTATATCCTTTTACTCCTTCCCCATATCCTAAGAAAGTACCTTTAACAAACCTAGGCTTGGAAGGCTTTCCTGTAACTGTCTTTCTAGGATGGTTAAGAATTTGACTATGGAAATATTGTATGCGATATTGATTTTGTAGAAGGTAAAAGTTTAGCTGTTGATGGTTTGATTTTGGGGGTCGTTATTTATAAATTTGTGCACTTTTTATATTATCAAGAAAACTATCTTGCTGTCGTGGAAGAAGTAAAAGTCATCGTCGACGGAAAAGCTATGCGAAGTCAAATGTTGGAAAAAAGAAAGAAAAAATTAGGTCTATGTATGTAGGAGAACAATAATTTGTTTTAGGATAATTATATTTTAAGATCCTAATTATATAATTTTACTTAAAACTATTTAAGTAAATAAGAAAAATCCTATACATTGTGGTGCACTTGATATAATTATAGCGGTAATATAATTATAGATATTATGAATCCATTCACTGGAAGATGTGGCAAGAAGTTCCTAATGACCATTGAAATTCGCAAAAGAAAGTTTAGTAACATTACTTAGAATTATTTTGAAATTCAATGACATTGGAGAAACACGACATAAAGTTCAATAACTATTTGACAACAGGATCGGTCCCAGTTGGACTAAGTAATGGCATGACTTGTCATTCCCCTATTTGTCCGCCATTAAATTAGAGTCTGTTTGGTGCTAATTTTGAAAATTAATTTTTTGCCCCGTTAACTTAAAATGTGGATTCTACCTGTGAGTGAAGAGGTCGAAAAGACGATTGTCTATATTAAGTAACGGCAATCAAAAAATTAATTTTTTGACTTGAAAAATTAGCACCAAACAGAGGGTAAAATTCATTTCTCTTTATTCTCATGAATCACACATTCTCTAATAAAATAATATTACACGTAAATCTAAAAATATTTTTTTTTTTTTAACTATATACTTTTTAAAAAATTAATATTTCTTTCATTATAATTTGAAAAATGAAGCCTTAACAAGGGCTAGGGATTTTCGTTGATATGTTAGTTGCTCTTTCAATGGAATCCATATGAAACACGTTGAAACTTAAGTGATTGAGTACTAACGTGGAAAAAGCTAATTGGCCAATTATATAATTTTTTTTTTTCAACGATTTAGCTAGTCAACACGAACAATAAAGTAAATTAACTATCTATTCAAATATCTATGCCCACTATAAACCGGGGCCCCTAACAGCTGCCTGAAATTGTCCCCTACAAAATTTCCTCTCTGGCAATTTAAATAATAATTAAACAAAAAACAGTGAAGATGATTAGATATCACAATAAACAAAAAGAATAATTGTAACAAAAGTTTCAAACCTTTAAAGTACTTGCACATTTTCCCAAATTTTTCAATTTGTTGTAGCCATTGCTCTTAACTTTTTCAACCATTGTATGTGAAGCCTTTTTTTTGCGATTTCCATCCAAAATGTAGTCAGTTGACCACCAAAATAAATTTTAACAATTTTCTAACAAAATAAGGGAGGGTAAAATCGTCTATGCACTATAAATATTCTTTAAAAAAATAAAACAAAACCCCACCCTAATCAAAATAAAAAATACACTCATCGCAACCGTTGGAGACCACCGACACCACTGCACAGCATCTGTGCTGTCCAGATTTGGTGTCAATCACAAACTTCAATCCCTATTTTTTCTTGATCCCTTCAATTAATGGATGGCAACAATTGAACCGTTCTAATCTAAGCCCATACGTTTTGTCAAACTTCGCTATTCACACCCGTCATATATTCATCCTTGTTTTCAAGCTTTTTCAACGATTACGTATTTGTAAACAAGAAAATAGGTCACAACTTTTCTTGTCCAGAATTGCAAATCAATCTTTATTCCTGTCTTTCAAATTTATTTGTTTTTGAGCCAACAATCTAACTAACACAACGCTAACCACCATTATAATTGTTGCACCCATAACTATTTTGGAAGTGTTTTTTTATATATCTCAAAATCTTATGCAAATTTACACTTTTGTTTTAGGTTTGAAACTGCTAGCATGGGAGTCTGCTTTGCCTGGCGTCAACGATCCCCTATTGTGTTGTTTTGATTTTGGGTGCGGGGTGGGGTGGATTGGATGAAGGAAAAGAATTTTTTTTTAAAGACTGTTTACAGTGTAGATGATTTACCCTCTCTTATTTTGTTAGAAAATGGTCAAAATTTATTTTGTTAGTAAACTAACTGCATTTTGGATGGAAATCGTAAAAAAGATCTCACATGCAATGGTTAAAAAATGTTAGGGGCAACAATTGTAATGATTGAAAGATATGTGGAAAAAAATGCTAATATTTCAAAGGTTTTGGACCATTTGCTACAATTATCCCTAAAGAAAAAAATTGTACTATTGATTCCTTACTTATTGCTGATGTCTCAAACTAGTTCTTAACTTTTAAAAGAAATTTAGTCCCATTTTAATTATAATTTACACATTCACTCTCAAAAGATCAAAATTGTTCAAATTTCTATTAAATTGTCACTTAATCTTAACACGTTCAACTTCATGGAATTAAATATATTTCTCAATTTTGGTCAATTTCGATAGTTGAATATTAATTGAAAAATTATAATCAAAGTTCGACTATTAACTTCATTTGTCTAACAAATTAAGTTCACATTTGGTGGGGATAAAATTAGCCTTTCAACAAATTTTGATAAAATAGGCAGAATATATGATTGAAATATTGTGAAATTCTATTAAATATATGAATATAACTTTAATAAAAATTTAGATTTTAATTTCGGGATAAGAACTAACACACAATTAAACAATAGGTTTCTAGTTTCCCTACAATATATAGAACAGTAACGCCGGTCAGAAGGAGGCTCTTTTGAGAGACGTTAAAGTGACGGAGGCACCTAACGGCGATACTGCCGCTTCAATATCAAACGAGTCGTACCGGAGAAACAGCTCCACTAGCAAAAACCGTGAAACCAACACTACAAAATCTTTTCCGGCGCACTGTTTATTGTCAACCGTCGACCTCTCCGTTTCCGGCCCGTTAGACCATACAACATGCTTCAAAAGTTTGTCCCCATTTTCACCTATGAACCGGTCAGGCAAAAACTCGTCGGACCTGTCGAAAATTTTCGGATCCTTAGTAGCAAATGGTTGGAATCCAAATAGGATTTCTCCTTCCTTGATTCTAAAAGCTGCGTTGTGAGATTCGACAACGAAGTCCCGTTTGGCTTTGGCGTATTGGGATGGAACCGGTGGTTCGATGCGGAGGGCCTCGTACACCGTTGATTTCATCAACGGCATGCGTTCCATGGCACCCATCGTGATTTTTCCGTCGTTTGATCTGATGACCGATCGGATTTCTTGTGCTAATTTTGTATGCAGTTTGAGTCCTGCTCGGCCAACCCATTTGAGCATGTTGGGGAAGAAGATTTTCATGCCGCCGAAGGAGTTGAAACACGTGGCGAAGAGGAGATTATGGCAAGCCTCGTCACGTGATACACCAAGTTTTTCAGCTTGATCAAGAATCGGAGTTGAGTTCTGGTAAAAGAAATCGTATAATCTTTGATAATCTTTCTTGATCAAAAATGGCGGCAGAGAAAAGTTATGAAGAATCCCATCTTCTACTGGTCTAGGTAGACCAAGAACCAGTAATGGATGCAGTTGAAAAAGTACCCATTTGCTAACCAGCTTGGGTCCGTCAGAGCCGAGCTTCGAATCAGCTGGGTTTGCACCGTATAACGATCTAGCCAAGAAATTAAAAGCGGCTTGGTCATTGGCTTGGCCGAAGCTGGCTTTACCTTTTGTAGCCAATTCCCCCTCCAAATTCTCAAACATTTCTGTATAACAGTTTTGGAACTCCGGAATCACTTGATCACGCCGATGAGACAGTAAAAAGAACATCATTTTTTTCAAGTTAGCGTGGTTCGGCTCAGATGGGTCTAAATATGATAGGACTCTGTAGCCTCCGGTGAGTTCCGTGGACGGCATAAAAGTTCCAGTGAACAAGTCTTTCTTTTCGACATTATCAGTGTCGAATAAGGCCGGAAAACTTTTTCCGTCGAGCAAGGCTATTACTTTAGAATTACACGAAATTAGAGGACCCGGAGGCATATTCGTTCTGAAAACTGTGGACTGGAATTTCTGAATTCGGGACCTGAAGAATTCATCTCTTCCCTGGTTATAAAAATAGTCTTGTCTGTCAATCCATGGACCGATCAAGGGTAGCCCGTAATCCCCTGGGATTTTACGGATGGGGAGCTTTTTGGGCTCTGGTAGAACCACATTCGTTGCCGGTGGAGGAGGTGGCGGAGTTGGGGGTGCAATAGATAGTTTATCTGATACAGAAGCTAGTTGGAGAGTGGGCTCAAATTTAAAGTTCTTCGGAGTAGGTAATTTTGATGAAGGAAATTGCATTTGCAGATGAAGAGAAGAGAAAGATACAGAAGATGAAGCCATGGATTTACAGAGTTTTTGACTTTTTCTCTGTAGTTGGAGAGACGATATAGAAATGAAGCTTGTGGAATTATATGTTAGTGGCACCAACTCTTGTCCGTATAAATAGGCAGAAGTAATAAACTTATAATGCGAATAGAAATAATAAAATTTATTAGTGCTCCTAAGGGGGAAAAGCTGTAGGTCCCTTTGCCCTTTTGCAGCATGGTCTGTGATTTGATATTATTTTGAAAGGAATAATTTTATTTGCATTGGCTTGATAGTGTAGTTTTGCTACGTATCATAGAAATGAAGGTTAATGATTTGATGTATAAATAATAAAAAATTATTACTTTAACGTATCAAATCATTAATTGTCATACATAGGTCACGTATGATAATTATAGCAATGATCAACTACAAATACCATTACTCTTTTGAGAGTTGCGAAGGACACTTTGCCCATGTTTAAATTACTTTCTCGAAAATTTAATTTTTTTTCCCAAATTTATATTTAACTACTCATTTTTAATAAAATATTTTTATACTTAAAAGTAAATTTTTTTCCTACTTTTTAATCCCACATTCTTTAAAAAAAAAATCACTATAATAAAATATTTTTTCCGATAAAATGAGACTCAAACAAGCCTTTTATGAATTAAAATTGTTAGAGCTTGCGTGCAAGGGAAGAGATTGGAGAGTAGTGTAGTTAATTCAAAGTCGAGTTTATGTTTATATGATGAGTAATGCTATGTAAACTCATTGAAATTGTAACTCCAATTTATGTGGCACTAAATAATAAATTAAATAAAATGTAAAAATAAATAATTTATTTAATTCTGTCTATCAATTAATGCAACGTTAGTTTCACATATTGATATGCTAGGTAATAATTTAAACTCCAAAAAGTGAATGGACTAAAATATTAGAATTCAATTGCGTGTCAATTTCCCCCAACTTCATTTTAATTTTTTTAATGCCGTTTGACTTTTCCCCTGTTGATTTATCTTTGACATGTATGATGGTCAATATTCAAACTTCAAAAGAAGATTAAAGTCAAACTAGTTGATAATTAAGTTTTTACGAGCACTGCCCACGCTCCGACTCCAATTGTTGAAAAATCGCCCTTAAAGATTGGAATTCAACATGTTTTTTTGCGTACAAATCGAATTTTGTTCTCCATATACAGGATGTTTGATAGGTATTTTTATATAAAAATGCATTTTAAAATAGTAAATTGATGTGAAATGTGAAGTTGAAAAATAAGGAAAAGTTTTTTATTTACGTGTAATAATATTTTAATAAAGAATATGTGGTTAAAAAGAAGAGAGAGAAAAATGCATTTTGAAAAAAAATGGCTACCAAACCGGGCTTAAATTTAACTTATGTACAACTTTTATATATGAAATATCGACAAAATTTAAAGTTGTATGCTTTACATTATTAGCTACAGTAAGAATAATATTTAGTGAATTAAATTGAATTGAAATTATAAAATAAAGATTGGTCATATCTCAGTGTATCTTTGCATCATCTGGGCATACTAGAACATATCATTAAGGTACAAAGGCCATCAATCCGAAAAAGTTTAACGATTGTTTGCATTTAAATGATCAAATCAATAATCGTAACATGAAAGCGAATAAGTGCAAGAGAGTTAGGTATAAGGAGATTTGACTAGGGTTAATTCTTGCCTTAAATGCCAACAAATTTTTTGCGTGTAGGACATAAGGAATATGAGCGAAGGTGGGCTATTGAATCGGTTTAAGCCTTTGTCACGTTCCTCATTCTTACGAATCAATTAATCGACAAAAATTAAATCCTAAACCACAATTGGTAAAAAATTTCCATCAAAAGCAATGAAAATGAAAAACTCAAAAATGAGTTCAAAAGAGAAAAACACAATGAATATGATTTACCAAAGTGTCAACGATTACAAGAGAAGAAGAATCAATTAATTGAGAAAAACCCACAATGCAATTTTTACTCTCCAAGAGCCTCTTCCTACCCAAAACTAGAATTATCAATGTAGGACAAACAAATTCGTACCCATTAATATTTCTAGTTTGAAAAAAGCTTCCTACATTGGTCTTTTTGCTCAGAGCCTATGTGGGATCCATTCCCATGTGACAGCCCTTATATAGGACCTATGCAAAAGGAATGTGCGGGTAGCACAGCTCTTCTAGTTTCTCTCTATAATTTCGTTCTCTAAACTCCACAATGTTGGATGCAAGTAATTTTAGATGAATTGTTTTGGTAAGTTTATTTCTCTTATTCAAATATTATTTCCTTCTACTGCAAGATTTCTTTTCTTTATCTTTTCTTTTTCCCTTTTATTGTCAAACAACAACTCTATTTTATTTTCCAAGATAGAATTTTTTTATATAGCCCCAGTTCGATAGAAATTTAGCCTTGTTTGAGTCTCATTCTTCTAAAAATTTATTTTTTCAAAAAATATATTCAACTACACATTTTTCAATAAAATAGTATTATACGCAAACCCAAAACTTTTTTTAAAATTTTAACCGCACTTTCTCGATCAACCTGTTATTCAAAATGCACTCTTTCGCCCCAAAATAGGGCTCAAACAAAGGCTAAAATTAGATTTTGAGTATATTGTGATAAAAAAATTTGAAATATGTGGTTGAAAAGTTGTGGAATCCATGAAATATACGATTAAAATTGATTATTTAATTTTGATTTAAATTAAGATCTAATTTAAATTAGTTCCAAACAAGGCCATAACAATCTCCACTTGGACAAAAAAAACAAAATTCAAATCACGACACAACTCAATAACCATCACGCCACCCATTTATTTGTAGGTGCCACCATGTTCATTTTGTTGTGGTAGGCAGAATCAAATTGAAAAAGCATCAAATTTGACTTTGCAATTTGACTACTTCATACTATAATTTTCAATTTTCTTGTCATTGTCCATATAACTTGTCTGGCTCACTTTTCACAATCTTTGACAAATGGTGAAAGATGTTTTTCTTCACAATCATGTAACACAAACAGGTTCAATAACATGATTACCAAGAATAGAGACACGTAGGACAGTTTGAAAGAAAAGTTATAAACACGGGTGCTGACAACTTAACACCTGTCAAAACACCTATTTGCAATCCCTATTTGAGTAGCATTATTCTTTTCTTCATTATTCGATCACAACAACTCCACCTCTATGTACTGTATCACAACAAAGCCACCTCAATGTCACTTAATCGATGTAACTTAATCACCAGATCTATATACCTCATACATGTCTTGATAACTATCGCAGCTCCACATTGGGGCCAATCCATTATAACAGCTTCATTTTAAACATTGAAATTTTCATCACACAATCCCAGAATTTGAATGATCAACTTTGATACCACTTGTCACGAAAAAATTCACCAAGCATACAACAAACGCAATGAAAACTGAGAACTTAAAAAGGAGTCCAATAGAGAAAAAACACAATTTCATGTGGTTCAACAAACCATCAATGACCACACGAGAATATGAATCAATTAATTGAGAAAACTATGTAGTATAATATTTTCCACTCTCGCAACTTCCTACACAAAAATAGAACAATCAATGTTGACACACTTACATTCATACCTAGTGATGGCACCCCACCCTGCCTCGCCTTAGACAGGGCAGGGTGGAGGCTTGTCCTTTTTTTTTTTTTTTTCTCTCTCTTCACAAGGCGGGGCGGGGATTTTCGCTATCACTATTCATACATGTTGTTTTTTCTTGTTTCATTCAACATTTTATATCCGTAAACTCTCACAAATTTGGATGCACATAATTCTTTCTTCGAATTCATGTCATCCTTCTATCAATCACTATTCTTCTCGATGTAAATTCATAAATTTATACAATATAGGTCAAACTCTTTTGGTAAGTTTTCTTCTCCTATTTAAATATTATTTCCTAATACCATACGACATGTTTCCTTGCTCTCTTTTACTCTTTTGTTGCCAAACAATAATACTATTGTTATAAACTGAGAAAAATGAAGAACAAAAGAGAGAAGCAGACTTTTGTGTTTTATTAAGAGTGAAATCCTATATTTTTAAGGAATAATTAGGGATACAATAGTCATGATGACTAGGGTCATAGGGATATAAAAATCATTTATAAATACTACTATATTTACAATACTCTCTCTTAGTTGACTATTTATACAATAATTATCTTATTGAAACATTTTATTTTATTTTATTTTTGGCAAAAACTCAATGGCACAAAAATGTCAACAAATGAAAAAAAAAAAAGAATAAAAATAATTTGAAGTAATTAAATAATGCCTCGTTAAAACATTGTCAAGAAAATTTAGTGAGACAAAACTTGATAGAAAGAGAAAGAGTGCAATTACACCCCTTGATATTAATTATTATATCAAGCAATCAATGTGTATGTCAACATCCTCAATATTGATATTTAGTACATCAATATCTTCAAAAAAATTCTAGTAGAACAAAACTTGATGACTGTAATATGACGATCGTAAAAATAGTTCTTATGGATCTTTTCCGGGGGGGGGGGGGGGTCTAAATTTTATTGATATCTTCGAGAGTCTGGTCCTCAAGAAGCATTGTTTTGAGGGTAAATATCTTGTATGTTGTGGACATTCATTATACAAAGAATATACTTCGTTAAAACTTTAATAGGAAAAATCCTGTGAAAAAATCCTAATTAAAGATAAAGGCATAGATCGTTCTTTTGAATACGCTACAAAAATTGCCTCATAAAAAATATTGTCAAGAAAATCCAACAGGACAAAAAATTTTCAATAAAAAACAGTACAATGCATATTTACGTCCTCTCATGATAATATCACTTGAATTATATTTTAGGCATATTAAATCCTTCAACAATAGTATTAAATTTATATAATGTAAGTTAACTATAATTGCATTTATTGTATGCATATCAAATTTTATGCATTATCATGCTAACAAGGAAGATATTTATACTTACATCAAATACATTATAACTTATATATATGTACAAGTTTTCACAAAATTCATTATATAAAGGGTCGTACATTTCATATTACGAATTTACTTTTTTCATTTTCATTTCACATAAGTATACACATTTAAGTATTGAGACTGTAGATCCAGAAATTTCACATTTTT